CAAAATAAAGAGGAAAGGGGGATGGGGTCTCCTTGCCTTAGGCCTTTTTTAGGAGAGAAAAAACCAATAGGGCTCCTATTTACCAAGACAGAATATTTAACAGTTGAAATGCAAAAATTCATCCATCTTATCTATTTTCCACCAAATCCCATTTGCCTTAGTTACTTAGTATGTTCAAAAGGTAAGTTCAACTTAACTGATCAAAAGCCTTTTCAATGTCCAACTTACATAGAACACCAGGTTCCCCCCTTTCATTCTCCAGCCCAGCACTTCATTAGCAATTAAGGAGGCACCAGTGATCTGTCTGTACTTAATGAAGGCATTAAGTACAGAAACCAGAAACCAGCTTATCAACAACCTTTTTAAGCCTTTCTGCTAGGATTTTTTAGAGCAATTTGTATACGCTGCCGATTAAACTAATAGGCATGTAGTCCCTAAGCTCCATGGCACCTTTTCTTTTTGGAATTAAAGCAATAAAGGTGGCATTGCAAGACCTAACCATGTGACAATTATGGTGGAAATGGTAAAGTGCAGCCATGATGTCTGTTTTAATGATATCCCATGCTTTTTGGAAGAAAGCCATAGTGAACCCATCTGGACCATGAGCTTTGTTAGGAGCACATGATTTCAATGCTTCAAGAACCTCAGATTCTACAAAAGAGGATTCCAACCCATCATTTTCCTCCAAGCTCAGTGTAGAAATGCCTTCAAAGTCAGCATTAGGTCTCCAAGGTTCACTTTCATTGTACAGATTCTGATAAAATTCCAGAATTTCCTTCTTGATCAATGCTTTGTCCTCAATGGTTTCATCCTCTATCTTCAACCTGTCAATAATGTTGCTTCTTCTGTTGTAGTTGGTCATTCTTTGAAAGTACTTGGTATTTTTGTCCCCTTCTTTTAGCCACAAGCACCTTGACTTCTGTCTCCAAGAGGTTTCTTTAGCTATTGCAATCTGCTGCAGCTCCACCTTCAGGTTGAAAGCTTTCAATTTTTCTTCTAGGGATTGGATTCTATTCTCTGAAGTTTGGTCCAGAATTCTTAGTTCATCAAGTGCCTTGTTTCTCCTAGCCTCAATCTTTCCAAAAGTTTCCTTGTTCCAGTTGCTAATGTCTTTTTTAAGACTCTTTAGCTTCTGAATAAGGATGAAATCTAGAGTTCCCACCACACTGTATGACAACCAACAATTTTTGACCCTATCCATGAACCCCTCCGCTTGAAGCCACATATTCTCAAATTTGAAATATGATGAAGAGGCTTCCCAGTCACCATTTTCTAACAAGATTGGTTTGTGATCTGATAATACCCTTGGAAGGGCCACTTGATTTATTGATTTGAATGTTTCATTCCACTGAGGAAATCAAGAACCTGTCAATCCTTGAAGCTTGGAGAGAAGTTTCCCCTCTTGACCAAGTGTATTGAGCTCCCTACAAAAGAAGGTCAATTAGGTCTAAGTCATCAATGATTTATGAGAATGAATTCATTGCCCTGGATCTTCTTGTGCAATTCAATCTTTCACTCTCAAATATGCATACATTGAAATCCCCTGCAATCACCCACTGATCAGACCATAAACCTCTAACTCCAGCTAGTTTAATCCATAAATCCTCCCTTTCTGAATTGGTATGAGGTCCATATACCCCTGGTAAAGACCCATTTAAAATCTTCTTGAAGACTCTCAAATCTGCAGGACATTGAGAAAATGCCAGTCTGAGTATCAACACAGTTCCAATTTCTTCTGCCTCGTTGGTATAAGAATACCCCCTCTGGTACCGGATGCTTGAAGTTCAGCCCATGCAACCGATCGACTACGCGACAATTGCCTTATTAGTTTTGAGTTCCAATTCTCAATTTTAGTCTCATGTAAACACACTACATCCACTCCCCATTTTTTAATCGGAGATTTGAGTGTGCTCTTCTTCTTCTTGTCATTTAGCGCCCAAACATTCCAACTTAGGATTTTGATTCTCATTCAGGAGATGATTGGTGAAGCATGCCCCTTCCTTTCCTTGCACTGTCATTCAAACCCAGTTTAGTTTTTTAAGTTCACATTCCCCTTTGTTTTTCCCTTTTTTAGTAGCTGAATTTTTCTTCTGCTGTTGAAGTTGAAGTTGTCTTTTCTGCTCCATGCGCAGGATGACGCCACGAATTTCGTGTTCGAACCCCATAAAATTAACCCTAAATGCTTTGCATGCTTTTATCATCGCCATTTTTGTCCACTTGGAAGTTTCAACAATAGTGGGTGTATCAATCAATTGCATATTGAGGTCCTTCTTGTCATGCCATGGAAGAGGGACAAATTCGCTGAGAGAGAAGGAGGAGAAATCAGATTCTGAGTCACTAACCAATGATGGTTCCTGGACGTGATAAGGCAGCGCCAATGCTACTGGATAAGGGTTGAATTCTGCTTTGTCATCGGCATCGTAGTATACTTCTATTGCAGCTTTGACTGGAGATTTGGGTTTGAGACTCTGAAGTTCCACCAATATTGGGTCAAAGATGGGCTCCGATATAGAGTGGGGAGTTCTGCTGAGGCATGGGTCTGGAATCACCACTTTCCATTTAGAAACAATTTTGGGCTTCCTCTTTTTGGTCTTCTTAAGTGGGCCTGTGTAATCTTGGCCCAACTTGGCTTTGCCCTTATTAACTGAAGTTGGTGTTGTATTTTGGTATTAGGTCGGCCCATTAGGAGGAATAGACAATTTTGAATTAAAGCCTGTAGGGCTCACGTGCCTATCATCTGACCAGCTAGTTGAAGCGACTGGCGAGGGTTTCACAAAGCTCGATGGTCCTTCTTCAACAACTTTGTCAGCGACCATAATAGAGCTACCGATCGGCATCGGAGCAGATTGGCTTTCCGGTATGATTTTGATCTCATATCTCCATGTACCCACGTCTAAATCCACCACTGATCTCGACTGTTGATCTGAGTTTCTTATGCAAATTCTGGCCCAAAAAAGATGGTTCCTGGATTTTGTATCTTCATCAATGCCAATGAAGCCACCACATTTTTCACCAATAAGCTTGAAGGTGTCCAGGGACCAAGCATGCAGTGGGATGCCGAAGGCTTTTATCCAGAAGTGCTCTGAATGTTTGTTTTCTCGTTCAGTTCCGGCGTTTGGCGACCACCATTCGAGCTTCAAGTGTCGACCATTCCAAAACCAGTCTCCAATCTTGATTCTGCCTGCCTCTTACTTAGAAGGGAATTCGAACAGAAAGAGGTTATGGTCCATGGGAATTACCCTGAGACCAGTTCTACCAACGAGGCATCTGCTAAGGGGATGCTGGTTGGAGTCTGCACTGTTCAGATTTTCCGTTGAGTGCCATTTTTTCCGGCCAACTCTGTATTTTTGCTGCATCAAAATACGATTTCAGTTGAGGTGTTGGTGGCTGAATGATTCTAGGGTTTCTAGCAGGTCCCAGAAATCGCAATATCTTCTCAGCAATATCTACCCATCCTTTGTTGTACCCAGCTTCTGGAATGATCATCGCCGACTTCCTGTTGCCCAGCCATGTTTCTATTCTCACGAACCTGCCATGAATATTGTAGTTTTGATATACTCTGTAGAGACGTGGATGTTGTAATCTTCCCCATCTTCTGTAATGATCCCCAGTACCCCTAGAAGCTTGCTTGAGATTCTCACATACCCACTTCAAGTTATCTTCATCAATTGTGATTTTGCAGGAAAAACGTCTACTGCGTTCAGTAATAGAAAGCCATCTGATATCATTTTCGCTAATATCTGTAACTTGAAAAGATTTGTCATCTGAAATGAAGAAAATCTTATCCCTCATAATAATGTCGCTGGAAAGAAAAGCTAAAGAGAGAAAAAGTTGAGGCCCATTTCCCAAGTCAGAGCAAAAAGGAGTCATTTTTTCCTTTTACTTCAATCGACTGAATCTCTTTTACATAACTAGTGGAATCGTTGGTTGGTGCACTCTTTACGAAAAGATTCTAGCAAATTAAAGAAGAAAGATCTTCCAATGCCATTGTTTTGGTAATTTTGCAGCCTTGCAAGGACATGTGTCTACTGTCCATATGCACCCTATAGACAGAAAACTAATACATAACATGAAGTGATATTGAAGGTCAAGATGTCACATATCCTGACAAATGAGCCTATTACATAGCTTCAGATTAAAATAGTGGATAAATGGAGAAGAAGGGTGAGTTACTTCTTGAAGTAGCAGTCAAAATTTACACCCTTGAATAAAACAGGATAAAGTAAGAAAATAAAGAAGAGAAGAATAAAGCACTAAACAGCACTGTTCCTTCTTTAATGATGAATTTTTTTCCTTTTTCCTCGTTTTTTTTTTTTGAGTTCTTTCAATGTACTTCATGAAAATATTTCCAAAGGGAAGATTTATTTAGGCTATAATATTGTTGAAAGCATAGGCAAGTACGTTGCTGGGAAAACAGTCTAGTGTTTAACACAATAGACAGGACAAGATAATAGATAAGAACATACAACTTTCAGACACTATCATATACCAACCAAAGCATCGTGTATTTGCATGGGATGTAGCTAAGCAGCAATCTAAATAACTTAAACACATAACATATCACTTGGTAAAGTTAGAAATGCCATCTTGTTTCGGGTTTCATCCTCCCATCTACAGGTTGAAATATACTCCCTCCGTTTTAATTTAGATGATATAGTTTGACTTGACACAAAGTTTAAGGAAAAAAAGAAGATTTTTGAAACATGTGATGCTAAAAACTTAAGGGGCAAAAGCTTAGTAGGGCCATGATATTTGTGTGGTTATAAAAGCTTCTCATTAAGGGTAAAGTGGGTAGAATGAAAAGTTTAAAGTTAAGTTGTTTTTAAATATAGAAATGTGTCATTCTTTTTGGAATAGACTAATAAGTAAAGTGTCACCTAAATTGAAACAGAGGGAGTATCTACCATCCTCATTGAATCGAGAGAAAGACAATGGACTTCTCCAATTCACTAATTCCTATAGCTGACCAAGTTTATTTAAGTGCTGAAAAACTCACTCACTTGGGCACCACGAAGAACTGCCTCCGCACACTTTCGGCTGACAATTACCTCCTTAAGAGGTTTGCCTTCATTGTACCCATAATGAATAGCATGTGGTCCTGAACCTTTAACAAAAACTACATAGTCCATGCCAGGAAATTGACACTTTGAAATACTTTCGATGGCCTTAAGAGATTCTGCACTTCCAGTGCATTCTAAGGTTGCCTTACAACAATTATCTGGCTTCTGTGTAATAATAGATTCTTGAACTGCGACATCAAGCATTCCTCTTTCCTTAAAAATTTCCAAAAGCTTCTCCATAACAGCATCACTTGTCGATTTGAGCGTATTCACCCGGATGCAAGAGTAACATGATGGGCGCCTAAGAAAAGCATTCGAATTTGTATGTTAGAAGGAAACATCTACATGTAAAGCAACCATAAGTGACACTTTTCGTGCCTACAGTTAAGGCATTCAAATATCAATCACAAACAAAGAAACATGTTGAGACAATGTTGGAAACAAGAAGAGGCCATTAAAAAAATCATAACAAACGAGGAAATACTCCGAAGCCACAATTTTTTACTTGAATAATGAATTTAATTACCAATAGGTTAATTTTTATTACTATCTTCTTTTGCTCAACCTCGTTTTTCCCTATATTGCTTTACCAGAACCTACAAACACAGAGATTGAGCTCAACTCTACTTCATCAAATCTAAAAACTACTTTCTATCAATTCAACGTAGAACTCAAGTTAATTCACAGGTTTTCTAACAGATATAACAAAAGAAAAAGTGTAAAACTGAAAGTGACAGTAGAAATAGCTTACGTGAGTGAAGTAGAAATACGAGAGAAATGTTCAGCTCCGTATGCTTTACTGAAGTATTCTTCAACCATAGGGTTCCATTTCAAAGTTGGGCTGTAACGGTAACGCGTGGATTGATCCATCTGTACGTGAATGAACACTTACACAATGTCATCATAAGCTATATATCAATGATTAGGGCAGAAAAAGAGTGTTAGTTACCTGAGAAATGGGAGCGAAAAAGCTTCTACGAATGGCTTTGATGAAGTTCCTCCCTCTCTGCATTCATTCAATTTACAGGCGGAGAAGGGGGGAAAGTGCTTTCCAAACCGTTGCGATGTTTATATACGAACCCGCAACATGTGATCTCGGGTCATCTATTAAAGAACTCGGGTCATGTTCAAGCACGAGCCTACGAGGTTTATTTTGGGCATCTTTACAAAAATAGCCGACTGGATTTACTGTTTACTTTTTCTAACTGGTATACATAAATTATATACTGATTAAATTTGATTATATATGAATTACACATGAATTATACAAATATTATACATCCATTATTTATATTTAGCTTAAATGGTTGGATAGACAGCTATTTAGGTTAATTTTTCTTATATTTTTTAGGGAACTAATCTCTATCTCATGTTAAATATTATCAATTTTTTATATTTTGAAAAAATAAACTTTTAACAACACAAATATTCTTAAAAATTTGTTCAAATTATCCAAAAATCATATACTATGTAGTTGTTAGCATATTTATTTATATTATTATGCCGGGATGGATCTACAAATTAAATTTAGGTGCTCGAGCACCCATTAGCCTCGACACATAGTATGTATAGTTGTATAGAAAAGTTGAGAAAACGAATATAAAATATTACAAAAGCACCCATGAGACAAAGTTTGATGACTGCTTTGGTTGTGGAAGAGCGCCGGAACTTTATGAAAGGTGAAGGGCGAAGGTTCGATTCTCTCTCCCATCAAGCCTTTTTTTAAAACAGGTCAATTATTTCTGTTTTTTCCCTTATAGTATCAAGGTATTTTTTCCTTTTTTTTCTTTCCGATTTTCACCAAACACTTTTTTTACCCACTTTCTAAAATTGTATTTGCTTACTTTGTTTTATCTTTTCTTGTTTTACAAAATCTAATTCACTATAAAGAAAGAAAAAGAAAAAGGACTCAAAAGTTCGACGCTCCTGTAAACGAGCAATTCCTTCCGAAGGGAGAAACCCATAAAATAAATAGGCAGTTTTATGACGTCCTTAATATTAATACTATGTGTTTTCTTGTTAACTTTTTTCATCATCATGTTCAAATAGTTATGTTTTTATATGATGTGATTGATAATAACTTCATGCCCAAAAAAGTTCAGTACCCACAAACTTAAATTCTTAGATCCGCCGTTGTTTTTATATGTTAAAATAGGCCAATTATTTCTGTTTTTTTTCCTTATAATATCAAGGTATTTTCTCCTTTTCTTTCTTTCCAGTTTTCACCAACCACTTTTTTACCTACTTTCTTAAAAAAAAAATTGCTGACTTTGTTTTATCTTTTCTTATTTTACAAAATCCAATTCACTATAAAGAAAGAAAAAGAAAAAGGACTCAAAAGTTCGACGCTCCTGAAGACGAGTAATTCCTCCCGAAGGGAGAAACCCATAAAAAAAAATAGCCAGTTTTACAACGTCCATAATATTAATACTATGTGTTCTCTTGTTAACTTCTTTCATCATCATATTCAAATAGCTATGTTTTTATATGATGTGGCTGATAATAACTTTATGCCCAAAAAAAATTCAGTACCCACGAACTTAAATTCTTGGATCCGTCATTATTTTTTATGTGTTTAAGATGTAGATGTAATTTAGTTTCTAAGGATGTAAAAGTCCATCAAATTACAAAATTAAATTTATCATTATTTCAAAGGGAAAAAGTAGATTACTGTGGGACCTTATCTTTGTATTGATATAATAGATAAAAAGGGGTTAGGGGTTAGATATGCAAAAGGTCGCTTAACTCATAAAGTAAAATTATTATAACTTATTTTCTAACCACAAAATCACTCCACATTCACTTAAGTATCATTATTATGAAAATTCGGTGAAGTTGGTCAGGAATCATCCCATTTCATTAAAAAAACTATGCGTTATTGCACATGTACCTATATCAATAATATATAATTAAAAAAGTTAAATAAATATTATTATATGATGTATTGAGGTGTAAATAAAAAAATTTAAAAATTATATGATCGTAAAAATAATTACTATTGTTTATCATGCTTAGCCAGATTAACAAAAGAAGATATCACGCTATACAAAAATTCTCAAATATATAGAGCAAATATTGATAGGACAAATATATTGATGGAAAGTTATATAAATCCAAACAATACATATATTTAACCCCGATTTTAATCAATCCATAGCTTCTTCCTTAGCGTCTTATAATAATGCAATAGTCAATTTGAATACTAGCAGATACACTACGTCATTGATTTACCAAAATTTTAAGTGGGCACCACTCTAATTAAATTTAAAGTTCATTGTAAGCTAAAGTTTAAATATTAGTACAATAAATATAAGATATAGTATAATCTTAAGTCTTTACCTCACCTAATATCAAGCTTTTCAAATACACCAATTTACTAATTATAATTAATAAATTATTATCGTCATTCACAAAAGAGCTTTAACTTTAATTTATATTTGAGCTTGACATTTCTCAACAAAACTTTAGAAAATAGATGATATGTCCATATTATTTCTGGCCTTTGGCCAAAAAGAGTGCAGAATAACTTTTTGATGATTTCTTTTTACCCTGGTTTGGTTCTTTACTGCATTAATTGATTCAGACATCTAGTATAAAGCCAACTTTTTTCTAGGAGAAATGAATTTATGTATGGCTATGTATTTTAAGGTTTTTATCTCTAAGAAAATGTCAGAAAATAATTAACACAAAAAATCAATTAAGGGTGTATAAAAGAGAAACAACGAATTAAGAAAACGAAAAATTTACTTCATATGACAACAGTAGTATATTTGGGAGTTAAGGTTACTCTTTGAATGCCAAAAGATTAACCGATTGTTTGGATGGTTGTTACGTGTTGTATTGTATCCTATTGTTACTTTAAATATAATGTTTGTTTTGATTGTTACTTAAATTTTATTATATCGTATTGTTAAATCCGTCGTTACGTAATGACGAAAAGTATCACTTTATGAAACGACCGATTTGGTGTGGTCGCATTATTTTCTTTCTTTTTTTCTCTCATCTTGCCCTTTCTTATTATTAAATAATAATATTTTATCTTTTACTCTACCTTTTTATATAATAATTTTACCTCGTACCTTACTTTTTTTTTAATAATATTACAAGTTTATTCTTCATATTGTTGATGCATGATATCATGAAACGACGACAAAAAAATAAAATCTATCCAAATATTATATATATTAAAACAATACAATACAATATTATACTATATATAACAACCATCCAAACAAGCGGTAAGGTGAGCATATATATCTAAATCGGATGAGTAGCATTATTTTCTATTAAATAAAACTTTGTGAACGCATTATCCTCTAATATAAACTTCTTTTCTTGTATGGTCAAATTAGTGATTGATGGTCTCCATGACAGTAACAGGTACTCAAATCCTAAAACATGTACACATTATAAAAGAAGTATAAATGAATGTCTTCTTTTTTTAAAAAAAAAAAAAGAAGATAAATGAATGTTTGAACTTGATTAATAATGTGAAGAATAACTCTAAAATGGAGGTGCGAAAAAAAGTGAAGCATGATAGGGATACTGCTGAAGGATCGTCATTTGCTAAACCAGTAATCGGAAGGGCAAAGAAATCGTTGGTGATGACGATTTCGTGGAGGAAGAAGTGATTCCCAAATCTGCAAAAAGAAAAAGAAAAAAAAAAACATGTGTCTTGCTTGCAAGCCTTCAAAAAGGAAGAAGGTTCATAAATCTCCTATACACATACCTCAACACCTTCTAGACAAGGTAAAATTATGGTCATTACCATATTTGTTTTTTACTTTTAGTAAAAAGCCATTTTCATAATCACTTTGCTACCTATTTTTTATTTTATTTTTATTATAAAAATTTTGTCTACATTATATATGTTGTTGTTTTCTAACTTTTTTAGATATTTTTGCAATTGCAGATTTGTTGTATGATAATTGATGAAAATTTATTTGTGGTATGTATTTCATGAGTTTGTTTGTTTTCTTGGTTAATTTTTGTTCTGCCAGTATGAATGATGAATATGTCATGTGTTGTATGTTAATTGTTTCAATTTTGTTTCAAACCCAATTTAATTGTTTTTTCTTTGTAAAATTTTTGTAGATATTATGTATATGAGTTATTTTATCACGACCCAATTTCACCTATAGGTCGTGATGGCGCCCAACACTATAGCTAGGCAAGCCAACTAATAAGTCAATCGTACATTGGTTAAACTTTTATTCCAAAAAAATAATGAAATACCAACTTCTACCAATGTGTGTGTCAAGACCCGGTGTCACAAGTGCATGAGCATCTAGTAGATTATACAAAACTCCAAATACTGTCTGAAATGAAATAGACAGAATATAAATATAAGAAGAGATACTGGTAGCTGCAGAACGGCTCAGAAAGGCAGCTCACCACTATGTCTTGGGATGACGTGGGTATGTGATGATAGGTCCTCCACTAGTACGTGTCTCAGATCCTGCACAAAAAAAGTGCAGCAAGTGTAGTATGAGTACATAAACAACGTGTACCCAGTAAGTATCAAGCATAATCTCGAAGTGGTAGAGACGAGATGACCGACTTTGACACTCACTATGGGTCAGTAATAATAACTGAAATAAAACTAGAATATTTAAATCAACATGATTTACAGAATTTACAATAATTTATTTAATCAGCAGAAATAATCAAATTCCTTCAAATGTAACAATTCTCAATATATTAATTAAATTTCTTCAATTCGAATAAATTCTAATTTATCAATTAAATCTCATTTACATGAGTAACAATTAATTCTTAAACAAGCAAGAATAATAATTCATTAAATTTCAAGGATTTTCCAATTTATTAATTAGCTTCTCAAGCTGAAATAAATTATTAAAGTATCGTGTAATTATTATTATTAAGCACGATTTCTGCCGAGGACGTACGGCCCGATCCAGAGTGTCGTGTACACTGCCGAGGGACGTGCGGCGCGATCCATAGATGCATCTATCCTGCCGAGGCGTTCGGCCCGCTCCACAAGAAAGGAGGACATTTTCTTATGTGCCTCCGGAAGGACAGTATATT